GTTGGCTGAGTTCCTGGTTCTTGCTTCTGGTTCTCGCTCCCGGCACTGGCTGGGCTGGAGGCGGGGCAGGAGGCTGAGCCCAGGCCATCTGGGCCTCAGCCCAGCCTGCCTCCCTGTCCTGGGTGGGGCTGTTGACGCGCTGCTGGTTCTGGGAACCCAGGCCAGGCGGGCAGTTCCGGGAAGGCCGCCTTAGGGAGAAGTGAGTCCTGGCCCCCTGCCATACCGCCCGCCCGCTGTCCCCGAGGCCGGAGGAAGCTCCCGGCGGCCTCAGACTGTGCCGTTTTGGGGACCGGTGGCTCCCAGGGAGGCCCCCCGGGCCCCGGTGCCTCAGCTTCCCCCGCGGGCCTCTTGCCACGGCCTGGCTGCCTCCTGTCTGTGGATCCAGCCCTCCTCGCAGGTTTGTGGTCAGCGGGGAGGAGGGAGCCAGAGGCCCGCACCCCCTCGGGCTCAGGAAGAGCCTCCTCGGCCACTTCCGGGCGGTGCTGGCCGCGGACATCGCAGACTCGCCACGCACCTGCCCCAGTAAGGAGAGTGAGACGGGTCTCTCTGCCGGCGCTTCCCTCCGAGCCGCTGTCTCCCCTGGCTCCGGCTGCCGCTCAGATCCTGGCGCTGTGACCACAAGCCGGTGCTCCCGCCTCTGTGCGCCTCAGTCTGCTCACCTGGAAAGTGGGGGTTTCAGGGGCACCTGCATCGTAGAGCTGTGCTGAGAACCACGTTGGTTAATACACTGTACGCACGGAGAGCAGCGCCGGGCACGTGATAAGCATTGCGAATGCATAGCAATCATTACGGGCAAAAGCGTGGTCCGTGCCCACGTTTAAAGGTGGATGACTGAGTTTGTTACTGCTGAAGGTTAGCCAACCACTCATTCCATAGCAGCGTATTGAGCACACACTGGGCACGGGTCAGCCCTGTTTAGGCACCGGGGGCAAGGCAGGGCCCACGGCACCACAGCTCGGCCCTCCTGGGCTCGCACGCTCCTCTGCGTGTGACGATAGGCCGTCTCTCACCCTGCCTCAGGGCCTCGCAGCAGGGCGGGAGGGCAGTTACTCCTTCGCCTGTTTATAGGCGCGCTTGTCTTACTGCTTTGTCAGACCTCTTTACAGTTATAATCAAGGCCATTAACCATCCTTCATGGTCTAGTATACCGCTGTCTCTTTCTCGTCTTTTGCTTGCTTGCTTCTTTTTTTATGGCATGTTTTGACCTGGGGAAGCTGAACATTTTTCGCAGTCAGATCTTCCTATGTTTGCCATCTACCTCCTGAAATAAAACCAGCGCTCACACGAGTAACCTCAATGATAGGATCAGAGACGGTGATAAGTCCATGGCAGCTATACGCAGGGGCTGTGATGAGTGCCAGGGGCTGCCCTGGTGAGGGGATGGGTTTCTGGGTACACAGGCTGCACAGGGCAGCAGGGCTGGGAGCGTCAGAGGCCAGTGGGATGGGAGACGTGGAGGAGGGGAGGGACAGTGGGTGGGTGGCAGGGGCTTGAGGTTTCTTATTTCCTGGGAACCTTAACTTTAGCGTGCTGTGGATGGGCCACCTTCGCCCCCGGGCGTGGACTGTGTCCCGTGTTGGAGGTAGTCCTCCTGGGTGGGCCGTGACCCCTGGGGAGCTGTGCCTCAGGGTGAAGCAGCTTCAGAGCCGGAGGCCAGTGAAGGCCTGAGGGGCAGTTCCTGGCCTGGGTGCCAGCAGCGTGGAGAAGGCTGGGGGACCCAGGTCTGCAGCAACTGGGGATGGCCCCGTGGCCCCGTCCCGTTCTCTCAGCCCGCTGTGGGCTGGGAAAGTCCTGCCACTGCCCTGTTCCAAGACCCTCAAAGTCTGGTCACCGCCCAGAGGAGGGGCTCAGGGGACCTGTGGACCCCCAAAGTGGAAGGCAAAGTTAATGCCTGCGCTTGGGATTGGAGTTTGCACTCATGTTCAGACGGGCCCGTGGTCCCAGGACATGAGGACAGAGGGAGAGGCTGAGCGCTGAGGCTCTGGGGCCCGGGCGTCCTGCTCACAGCCGGCCTGCCACATGCAGCAGGACCGTCCCTAACACCGCTCTGAGCCTCCGTTCCTCCTCTCAAAACGGGGACTATTAGCACCTACTTCAAGGGGGCTGTTTTGAGTATTGAATGAATTAATATGACCAAAATGTGTAGAGAGGGCCCTAGCTGGTTTGGCTCAGTGGATAGAGTATTGGCCTGCAAACCGAAGGGTCGTGGGTTCGATTCTGGTCAAGGGCACATACCGCCTTGTGGGAGGCAACCAATCGATGTGTCTCACATCGATGTTTCTCTCTGTCTCTCCCCTTCCCTTCTACTCTCTAAAAATCAATGGGAAAATATCTGCGAGTGAGGATTAACAAAAGAAAAATACCAAACTGTGTAGGGGGATATGGTAAATATCGTAATTAAGTGAATGATGAGGCTGCCCTCGGGACTTGGGGCCTCTCTGTGCCCGTTGCCATCCTCTCAACGAGCTGCGAGTCAGCAGCATTTCTTCCGGAAAGAAGCACAGGTGCGTTTGGGCACTGTCACCTCCCTGGTCCTGGATCTCATATCTCTGTTAATATGGCCTTAGTTGGTGTGTTTGTTTAAGTGGCTGCTTCACCTCTGGCTCATGCGGGTTTGTAGATGACACTGGCCTGCTTGCCCCCGCTGATGGCGTGGAGCGATTTGGGCTGGTGCCAGGAGCAGGTGTGAGTGGCTGCTGCCCTGATCGCCCCTCAGGAGCAGGGGGAGGTGAAAAGCCCTCAAGGGCGGGCGATCAGGGCCACCAAGGGCACCTGCGAGCTTCATGCCTGTCACTCCCGGCAGGGAGAGTGCAGAGACAGCGACTGTCTGAAAGCACATGGCACTGAGCAGCAGGAGGAGGCCTGGCAGCTGCCTTTCTGAACTGACCCCAGACAGAGGCCCAAGCGGAATGTGAGTGGGCGCTGTCAGCATTGCCCGGAACAACCCCAGGACGGAGCTTTGTAGGGGCATTGGGCATGAGGTGCCAGGTGTGTAGGGGCATTGGGCAGGAGGTGCCAGGCGTGTAGGGGCATTTGGCAGGAGGTGCCAGGAGTGTAGGGGCATTTGGCAGGAGGTGCCAGGCATGTAGGGGCATTGGGCAGGAGGTGCCAGGCGTGTGGGGGGCATTGGGCAGGAGGTGCCAGGAGTGTAGGGGCATTTGGCAGGAGGTGCCAGGCGTGTAGGGGCATTTGGCAGGAGGTGCCAGGAGTGTAGGGGCATTTGGCAGGAGGTGCCAGGCATGTAGGGGCATTGGGCAGGAGGTGCCAGGCGTGTGGGGGGCATTGGGCAGGAGGTGCCAGGCGTGTGGGGGGCATTGGGCAGGAGGTGCCAGGCGTGTGGGGGGCATTGGGCAGGAGGTGCCAGGCGTGTGGGAGTGGCACTCCGTGGCCCGATGGGATCTGCTCCTGAGCCTCTTCCTAAGGAGAACCACGGGCGCCCTCTCCATTCCTTCCTAGCCGGTGCCTGAGGCCTCAGTGTGTCGGCTCAGGTGGTCCTCAGCGCCCGGGGCGATGGAGACTGAGGTCAGCGGGCGAGCTGCTTGCTCAGGGGCCACAGGAGTGCGAGGCAGAGCAGGTGTGGACATAGGAGATGACAGGAGAGATGTGAGGTGGGGTCCCCCGGGGACAGGCAGACACCACGTCGTGCGGAACAAGGTGACAGTAAGCAAGGCTCACCCAGTGCCAGACCCACCACAGGGGGCACCGCTGGCCCAGGCTGTGGGCTCGGTTCTGTGTGTGGACTGATGTTCACGGTGCCGTGAGTTTAAAGCACAAGCTTTCACATGGTGACCGTGCTGCCGGTTTGGTAAACAGGCTTCATACTCACCTCCCTGTAATCATAGCAGCGACTCTGAAGGAACAGAGACTAACGTGAGGGGCACTGCTGGGCGTGTGGTGGGGGGTGTGTGTGTGTGAATTGTATTCTCTCACTAACACAGCGAGGCTGGTCCGTGACTTCACTGCTATAAACCCCGAACAGAAGGCCCTCCGTGGGGTCCGAAGCTGGGGAGGGGTCACGTGCTCTGTCAGGATCACCCATAATGCCGCAGGGCGTGTGAGGGACTCCCAGCTCCGGCGTGTGGTCTTGCCTGACCCCATGGGCTCGCTCATGCACTGGGGTCAGCGAGGTCAGCTGCCTGCCCGGCGGAGGGTGAGCTCACTGCAGGCCCGGGTAGCTGCCCCTGGCCAGTGCGGAAGGGGACCGCCGGGACCTGCCATCACCGTCCGCCAGCAGGCGAGGCCGGGTGTGCTCTCCAGGCAGCGGCTGCGCCAGGGCAGGCCTGTGCACGCCGCATTCCGGCTAGCATTCTGCTAGCCAACTCGAGCCACATGGCGAGCCCAGATCCAAATGCAGGGAACACCCTGCCCAGAGCGTGGCGAGTGGGGGTGGGGGCACTGCAAGGTGACATGGACACAGGAGGGAAGAGTTGGGGCCACCATTTTAACACCCCCAACGGCGGCATTTTTAGCGGCTGCCTAATACTCCACTGCATGTGTATATCATCATCTCTTTAACCAGCTCTGTAAGGTGGGTTAGGTCAGCATTTCCAAATTATATTTCAAGGAATTAAAAATCCATCAGGGGTTTTGACACACACACACACACAAATGAAAGTTGAGTAAATAAATTCGCTAAGTGTTGGGTTAAGAGAAGAAAGAGAAACTTCTGTACTGCGGGACTTATGAGAACCTTCACATGCAAATACGCAGAATGAACTTCCGGAAGTCCGAGGGATACACACCCTCAGCGGGGCCTGGGCTTTTGCCAAGAAGCACCTCCGGGGACAGGTGTTCCTGGCTCTCGCTCGGGGCTTTGTGCATCCGGGTTGGGTTTGGTGATTGGACAGGTCTCTGCTGAACACGGAGGGCTCACCGTGGCCAGACACAGTGGCCGGGGTGGGGGCGGCTGTGTCTGAGTGGGGCGAGCTCTGAAGGCCGCACTGGGATGCCTGGGTGGCGGGGACACGGGTCAGCCCTCACCGCTCACTGTCTCTCCGCAGGGGCCCTAGGACCTCCCGATGGGGCGGCTCGGCTCCGGGCTCACGCTCCCTGTGAGCTGCCTGATCCTGGTGTGGGCGGCAGGCGCTGGTAAGTCACCCCTCTCATTCATTCATTCATTCATTCATTCCTTCAGCAAACATGTACTGACTGTCTACCTGCCAGGCCCAATCAGGGAACAAAGCTGAAATCCCCGGCCTTGACTTTGCACTGTGGTGGGGTGAGACAGCCGATGACAGATGGCCCGAATTATAAGTTAAATAGAGGCCTGGTGCATGAAATTCATGCATGGAATAGGGGTGGGGGTCCCTCAGCCTGGTCTGTGCCCTCTTGCAATCCGGGACCCATTCGGGTGGGGTCCCTAGGACCTATGGGGGCTTTCCTTCTCCTGGCTGCCAGCAGCTGCCCCGCCCCCAACGCTGTCACTGCTTGCCATCTGCGCGGTGCTGTCCCCCCCGCCCCCCCAGCCACCGATCGCCTGTTTGGTCATTCGGTTGATTTGCATATTATGCTTTTATTTTTATAGGTACTAATGGTTGTTAGAAGGTGTGGGAAAAGATGATACAGAGCAGGGCAGGGAGGACTGGGGAAGCAGGGTCAAGGGGAAGTTTGCAATTTACAACACGTGCTCAGGGGAGTCCTCAGGAGTGACAGGCACTGAAGCAGAGACTGAAGGAGGGGAGCACACAGCTGTCTGGGGGAGGACCTCAGTGGAGGCGGAGCCAAGGGCCTGCCTGGAGGCTGGAGGAGCCAGAGGAGTGGGTTGGGGCTGGATGGCAGGTTTGAGGGTGTGAGCAGAGGAGGTACATGGCCTGGTACACAAATAGGGATCCTTTGTCTGTAAGCATGAGGGGGGAGCCGGGAGGCCGGGGAGGAGGCGCCGCAGTAGCCGGGGGCTTAGCCCGGCAGAGGAGACCGAGGGCACTGGCTTCGGGACCCTCCTGAGAGAGAGATTTGAAGAGAGATTGGCAGGCGGGGCGGGAGCAGGGTCAGGGATGACTCCGAGAGCTCTGACCTGAGCAACCAGGAAGGGGCAGCTGTCATTTCTGAGAGGCGGAGGGATCTGGGCTGTGGGGAGCGGGGAGTCGGGTGCGGAGGCTCTGAGATGTTTACTGGAGGTCCCTGGCTCTCCTTACCTAACATGGAATCCCTCTGTCCAGAGAACCAGGGCACACGGAGGGAAGGCCGCGGTGATGGGCCGGTGCTGGCCACCGGAGCAGGGTGCCTGCGGCCAGGTGCTGGGCGCTCTGGAGCTGGGCCATGGCTCTCAGACAGTCGGTACCTGCTGTGCACACGAACTTCTGGAAGTCAGAGGGATACCAAGCTCAGCGGGCTGTGGGATTTTTTTTTTAAGGCGCATCTCTTGGGACAGATGTTGCTCTCACTCCGGCTTTTGAAATCTGCCGGGTTCGAAGCCGGCTCTGTCACTGAGTGGCTGGACGAAGCACCCCAACTTCTCATCCTGCCCTTTGGTACTGGCCGAACCCAACAAGGAGCCAGCGGCCATGGGCACCGGGTGACAAGACGGTGGGATCAGCCTCCTGAGCTCAGAGGGGGATGGGGGGTGGGGTGAGGCGGGCGTGGCACAGGGATAACCCTCCTCACACTGTCATGTATTTTCCCTGTAATTTGGCCAAAGGCAGGTAGGTGAGCGGCAGCACACGAAGGTCATGGGGTGCCCCCTCCGTGGGCCCTGCACCCGGGGATCGTCTTCAGCCTCGGGAGCCGCCTCAGGGCAGCGGGAGGCTGTGAGGACGCACACGGCGGTCCGGGCGGCGGTGCCCGTGTTCGCGATGGGCCCTGGTCCTGTTCCGGCTGGTTCCGGCCTGTCCCGGTGGCCACGCCCTCTTGCTGGGCCGCTCAGGGCGCTGCTGTGTCTGTCTCCCCAGGGGGTGTGCAGCTCCGGCAGCAGCCCACCTGCTTCTCCGACTACCTCAGCACCTCCACCTGCGAGTGGAGGATGGGCGGCCCCACCGACTGCAGCGCCGAGCTCCGCCTGACCTACCAGCTGGTCTTCCTGAACGAGGGGTGAGCCTGTGCCGGGGAGGGGGGGGGCGAAGCGAGGGAGGCCTGGAGCTTGGCCTGAGTTCGCCGGGGCCCGGTGGTGCCCTGGAGTGCCGGGTGCTGAGTGCGGCTCCCTGCGGTTCTCGCTGGGCCCGGGTCAGAGCTGGGGCCGGGGCACAGTGTGCGATGCGGTGGGTGTCATGCCGCTCCGAGCTCACGCACCCGGCCTGCGGTGTGTGGATGGGGAGGGATATCGGACCAGGCAGCTCTCAGGCCCTCAGCCTCAGGATCCAGCTCAGAATGAGCGAGGACCCCAAAAGCGTCCGTGCAGGCAGCCTGTAGCGCTCGCTCTGGGCCCTGTCAGGAATGAGGCCAGGACATTGAAATCACAACAGCACGCAGCCACAGAGCAGTGACACCGTGACATGCACGTGCTCCCAGAGAAGAGGGAGAGCCAAGTGGCAGGTGGTTTGTCAGAGGCACCTCTCACCCACACCAGAGGTGCTCCGGGACAGCCCCCGAACAGACAGCTCCCAGCCTCGCTCCTTGTCTTCTCATATCGATGAATTTAACTTATATGAGAGGCCTTGATTGCGCTGTGATGAAGCCAGTTTTATTAAAGCAACCGAAGCGCGCACCTTTAGTAAAGTCTGCAGGTTCCAAATTCCTCTGCTGACCATTTTGGTGCAGATTAATTCTCAAGGTCCCCTTTTTACTCTGCTGGGCCTCCCAGAATGCATAAGAAGCACCTGGCATCCTTATCTCGTTAAGCCCTGAGGCTGCTGACTTCTCTGCTTAGGGAGTAAAACTGTCCTTTTCCCTTTTCCCCTCTCCCCCCTTTCTGCATTCTCTCCCCAGGGGGTTGTTTCACCATTTGCTCTGGACCGGCAGAGGGTGTAGCGGGGACAGAAATGGTCTGGCTCTCAGAGCCCTGAATACTCACTGTCCGGCCCTTTGGGGAAAACATTTGCTGCCCGTGGCCTAGCCCAGTGGTTGGCAAACTGCGGCTCTCGAGCCACATGCGGCTCTTTGGCCCCTTGAGTGTTCTAAGCCACTTCTTCAAAATAGACTCGCCCAGGCCAAAAACCGACTTCTGTGCATGGGCCACGAAGTTTCAATCGCATTGTATGTGCACGCCTGTATGTGGTATTTTGTGGAAGAGCCACACTCAAGGAGCCAAAGAGCTGCGTGTGGCTCTCGAGCCGCGGTTTGCCACCCGTGGCCTAGCCCATGAGACACGGGTTGGCTGTTTGGGGCGTCACGGTTGGATGATGTGCAGGGGCAGGGCATGTGCCACAGTCCCCTGTGCACAGGAGCGGCTGCGCCCCGAGGTATGTCTCCCCCCACCCCCCCACGTGCTGTTACAAAATCTCCATTGCCACGGCCTTTCACTGGCCTTCAGGATGAGCTGAGTCCTGGGACCGAGGCCGCAGCCAGGGGGTGGTGGGCGCGGGGCTGTGGCAGCAGAGATGCAGTCCTAGCCCCCTGGCCCACCACACAGGCTGGCTGCCCTGCTCCCAGCCCCCTGACCTGGTCCTGAGGCAGGAGACCAGGAACTAGCAGAGCACGTGGTTCCTTGAGGCGGGTACGGGGGACACCGTACGTGCACGACAGCCTAATGCAGCCCGTGTCCGCAGAAACCGCACGTGTGTCCCTGCGAACGGAGGGCACGCGGCGTGCCTGTGCGACATGCTGATGGAGAACGTGAGCAGCGGGGACATCTACCAGCTGGGCCTGTGGGCTGGGAAGCAGCAGCTGTGGAGTGGCTCCTTCATGCCCAGCGAGCATGGTGAGCGGGCGGGGCGGGTGCCCTAAGCCCGGCCCTGGGGTGGGCCAGGCTGGGGTGGGCCAGGCGGGTTCCATCCGGGGGAGGGCCCAAGCAGCTTTTCCTTAACCCCGATGGGGCTCTTGCCCTGCCTGGGCCTTAGTCCTCCCGTCTTTGAAATGGGGTTGGGCTCAGCAGCACCAGGCCCCCTCAGCTCAGACAGGCAACCCCCTGGTTGTGAGCGGCCGGACCGGGTGTTGAGCAGGCTGCTTGGAGGAAAGCGTGCTTGCCGCAGACCAGAAACTGAGCTGGGAACCGTCCTCACCTCCCTCGACTGCTCAGCTGCTGCTGCTTCAGACAGTCCATGGAAGGCTGACCTTATGCTGCTGCCCAGAGTCCCTGCAGGCATTCCCCTGGAGCTGGCGGGGGTAGTGACAGGTGTTCAAAACCCCATTTAGAATAAACATGGCGGCAGGCAGGTCTGGAGTGAGGGTGACCGTGTGAGCGGGAGAGGGCGTGAGAGGGAGAGTGTGTGTGGGTGTGGGAGAACACCTATTTAAAAAAAAAAATAAATTTTATTGATTTCAGAGAGTGGAAGGAAGAGGGAGAGAGAGAGAGAAATGTCAATGATGAGAGAGAATCATTGATCGGCTGCCTCCTGTATGCTCCCTATTTGGGATCTAGCCCACAATCGAGTAAGTGCCCTGACGGGGAATCGAACCAGGTCCACCTGCTTCATACATCTATGTTCAACCACTGAGCTGTGCCGGCCGGGCAGAGGGCCTCTGTTTGTCGGAGCGGGAGTTCAGGGGGTGACTGGGGCAATCCCGGCAGAGGAACTGTCACTGCAGTGTGCTGCTTGTCTGGGCACTGCTCTCCGCTTCGAGGGAGGGGGTGCCATTTTGAGGGAGCCTCAGGGTCCTCCGTGGGAGGAGGCTGTGGGGATGACTTTGCCCCAATGCCCCTAGGCCACTGACGGATGCTCACAGCCCCATTGCTGAGACCTGAAGGCCCTGGGCACACAGACCAGTCATATCGGCTCAGCCTGAACTGTGCACCTGGGAGGACCGGCTGGCTGGCCCAGGGGAGTGTGCCGGGCCTGCCCCGCTATGTTGGTGCACAGGGCATCTGGCCTGCCCAGCCTCCGTCAGGGTAGAGCGACAGGCTGGCCCCGATGGTGAATGGGCCAACTCTCTATCCACTGAGCCAAACTGGCTAGGGCATGGTGTAAATGCATATTATATACTTGTGATCTCACTGGTATGATTGCTTAAAAAGAGCCTAAGTCTAAACACATGAATCAAAATAAAGAAAAATACATAGTACAGCCGCAACCGGTTTGGCTCAGTGGGTAGAGCATCAGCCTGAGGACTGAAAGGTCCCAGGTTCGATTCCAGTCAAGGGCATGTACCTTGGTTGCCGGCACATCCCCAGTAGGGGGTGTGCAAGAGGCAGCTGGTTGATGATTCTCTCTCATTGATGTTTCTAATTCTTTATCCCTCTCTCTTCCTCTCTGTAAAAATCAATAAAAATATATTTAAAAAAATAAAGAAAAATACATGGTACATAATATAGCTCTCAGATGTGGCTAAAGTCCCCGAAACCTCAGTGTCCCTCCGGCCACTTCACACTTTAGCCACCGGCTGGCTGGCCGGTGTGTGGCTAAAGTGTGAAGGACGAAAGAAGTCGTTCCCCGTGGCTCCAGGGAGAAGGGGAGCAACGCCAGAGTGAGTGCCAGGATTGTAGCTGCTATGACTGTGAACCTACGTGGTGCCTACACATGTGCGGGGGAGGGGTGGTGGTGGTGGTGGTGGTGGTGGTGTGGACTGAAAACCTCAGCGGCCCGGACTCCGAGGGCCACACGCCCTCACCAGGCCCCCTTCTCCCCAGTGAAACCCAGGGCCCCCGGAAACCTCACGGTTCACGCCTCGGACTCCCACACGTGGCAGCTGACCTGGAGCAACCCGTACCCTGCCAACCGCAGCCTGCACGCCAAACTCTCCTTCCTGGTCAACATTTCAAACGAAGACGACCCCACCGAGGTGAGTGGGCACGTGGGGGTTCTGCACGCCCTCTGGCACTCGGGGAGCGGAGACGCCCGCCTTGACCAGTCAGGGTGGGAGACAGGAGCCCGGCTGACTGCAGCCTGGGACCCAGAGTCCCGGCTCCTGTCCCTCCGCCCCTCGCCTGGCGCCAGGTGTGCGGAGAAGGGGCGTGACTTCCTCCCTGGAAAGGAGGCTCTGCGCGCAGCTGTGTGTCCCAGGGGCCGGAGGGACACTGAGGTTTCGGGGACCCTCTCAAATGACCGAGTCCCACCGTGACACCCTCACTCAGCATCGTCTCTCTCCCCACCCTGACTGGTCAAGGCGGGTGTCTCAGTGGAGCTGACCGGCTTAGTAACCCAGCCCCAGCTGTGCGGTGATGTCTTCCTTTCCTCCCCCAGTTCCTAGTCCGCAATGTGACCTACAAGGAGCCTACCTTCCGCTTCCCGGCCAGCGCCCTGACGCCCGGGGCCCCCTACAGCGCGCGGGTGCGGGCCTGGGCCCCGAGCTACAACAGCCTGTGGAGCGAGTGGAGCCCCCCTGTCAAGTGGCTTCACGGTGAGTATCCGGGTCAGTGCTGAGCGGTTAGTCCTCCCCGCTTCACGCTGGGCCCAGACTCTGCCCTGGCCGAGCACCGGGTCTCCGTCCGAGGACGCCTCCACGCAGGTAACAGAGGAGCGGCTGGCACGGCCACTGGCCCAGGCGGGCAGGCGGGGCTGCGTGACAGGTGCCCACGGGGCCCGAGCTTTCCCGTGTGGAAACGTGCTTCTGTGTGTGTGACAGTCCAGCGTGACTGTGCTGGCCTGTGGGTGGTCTTCCTCCCGGGCTCATCTCTCTCTGGGACAGAGATGGTTAACCTGTGTGTGCTGGGCCCTTTGGCAGTGAGGGAGCCCCGAGGACCCATTCAGAACAATGTTTCTACAGGCATAAATAAAGAACTAGGGTTAATTTTATACAATTAAAAAATACCTTAAATATGGTTGTGATCTGGGGACATCTGCTTCTCCGTTAACACGGTAGAAGCAGGAGCGAGGGCAGTTCTCATAAACTGTCCCCAGTGAGCGGATGAGATAAGTGACGTTCTGTGATCTGGTAGCAGCATGTGGTAGGAGAGCAGCTGTGATGTTTGTGGGCAGCTGGGTGACTGCTGATGCTCCCTCCACGCCTAACGGGAGGAAATGCCAGGTGTCAGACTGAGTGAAAGTGAAGATGCCATTTCTTCCCCATCCAAGTCCCAGGCCTGTAAATTCTGTCTGCAACCTCGGTGGAGGTCTGTGGACCCCACGTAAAGGATCTCTAAGGGCCCTGCCATTGTCTGCATCCAGCCAGAAGGGGAAGGAGAGCAGGGAGACCTCCCTACTTCTTAAAAGCCTGGCTGGTTGAACATTGTACCATGCACCGGGAGGTCACTGGTTCAATTCCTGACCTGCATGCAAGCCCAATTGTGGGCTCAATCCCCAGTGGGGGCCCTGCAGGAGGTGGCCAATTGATCAATGTCTCTCTCACATCAGTGTTTCTGTCTCTTTTTTCTCTCCATCTCCTTCTAAAATCAATTAAAACCTATACTTAAAAAAAAAAAAAAAAGCCTTAGCCTGAAGTGACACATCATTCCTTCTCAAGTTCTATTGGTGAAACTGGCCACATGGCCACACGTAGCTGCAAGGGATTCTGGGGAATGTAGCCCTCACTGTAGCTGCATTCCCCAAAGCAACTCTTTGCAACTTTACCATGGGTTTTGCAATAGAAATGTTGAATTATCTCACATAAAATGGAGTCTTACACGTGGACCTTCCCAGGTTCATGTGGCAGCTCAGGGAACAAAACAGACAGAAATCCTTGCCTCCTGGAACCGGCCCTAGGGGGAGGGGGAGAGAAAATAAACATTCAGAAAAGAGGAAATCAGATCAACCCAGACCCAGGGGCAGTGGGTCTGGAGGCAGTAAAGCAGGGAAAGGGGGTGGAGTGATGGCAGAGAGGGCGCGGGGGAGTTTGGGAGCTGGCGAGGGTGCAGTGAGTGAGGAGAGGAGCCCGTGTGAGAAGGGGATAGCAGCATGGGGTGCGGGCGCTGTTCTGAGTGTGGTGGGTGGTAAGTCGTGGGACCCTCACAGCTCCCCGTGAGATGAGCACTGTTGTTAACCCCATTGTGCCGGTGAGGAAACCGAGGCACCGAGAGGGTGAGGGATGTGTCCTGGGTCACCAGTGAGGGTACGACAGAGCCAGGCTTTGAACTCAGGTCGTCCAGGGCCAGAGTCACTGCCCTTGACCTCTGTGCTTCAGGAAAGAGCAGCATTTCAAGATCCTGAGCTGGCACTGAGCATGGAGGAGCAGGGGCAGCAAGGGGGCCGGTGTGGCAAGGGTTCAGGGTACGAGTGGAGGGCAGCATGGGATGGGGCGGGAGGGCTACGGGTGGCTGATCATGTGAGATCTGGGAGCCACTGTCCTGAGTCCGGGCTCTGGCCAGGGAATGGAGACCAGGCTGTACCCAGAGCGATGCGGTCTCACGGCTTCCCTCCCCCTTCCAGACTACCAGCGGCCCTGGGAGCAGCGCCTCCCCCTGGCCGTGGGCATCTCCTGCGTCGTCATCATGGCCGTCTGCCTGTCCTACTTCAGCATCCTCAAGTGAGTCCTGGGCCGGCCCCCGGGGCGGGGAGCGGGCAGGAGTCCCTCCTCTCACCTGCGGGCTTGCAGTCCTCGTTCAACCATAAGTGTTTGTGGAGCGAGGCTCTGAGGCAGCGGCTGAAACCAACCCAGGGCCTCTGTGAGCCTGTGGGAGCCCCATGTCAGGCCTGCAGAGAGCCCGGTGTTTCCCCCGCAGCCCCAGCGCTGAAGGAGATGAGCTGGGGCAGGCCCAGATGTCCCAGGCGCTGTCAGGGGTGGGGGTGGGGGGAGGAGAGGAGATTGGAGCTGAGGCCTGCCTGGGGAAGGAGCTGGCCAGGGAGGGGCTGGGAGGGGCCTTCCCTTGGGAGAGGGAGGTGGATCTGCCCGGGGTGTGGTCCAGACAGTTGGGGGCTGACAACAGATTGAGGAATTCCAGCCGATCGCCCTGACAGTTGGGAGATCAGGGCTCTGGTCTGGCCCTGGCGCTGGCAGCTGTGGGCCTGGCTCCTCTGGGGGCTGAGAGAGCGGGAACGTGTTCCGTCCGTCCTAAGAGTCTGAGAGAGTCTTGGATCACAGTGGGGTGGGGGCAGAAGGAGCCTGGGTTTCAGGAAACATGGTGTCTCAGAGCCTCAGTGCTCCCATCTCTGAAATGGGACTAGAGTCCTCCCTCGCCATGTGAGGATTAGTGACGGCCGAGGATTGACTGGGCGCACAGTGAGTGGCAGGGGTTGGAGGCTTTCCTCTCCGTGTCTTGTCACTGACACCTCCCAGCCACCGTGGGCTGGCCTTTCCCCTCCTCTGAGCCTCTGTTTCCCATTTTCTGTCCTGCCAGCCCCTCTCTCTGACCAGCACTCCAGCCTCTTGCTGTTCTGTGAACGCACCAAGCCAGTTCCCTCCAAACCTTTCACTCACTGTGCCCCTGCCTGGAAGCCCTTTCCCTGGGCATCGCCCTGGCTCCCTCCTCTTCCACTCTCAGTCCCACTCAGAGGCCGCCTCCTCAGGGGGCCCTCCTGGACCACCCCCATTCCTCTCTACTCCTTTATCTTCTCTCATGGCGCTGGATGCCTTCATTAATGTCCTGTAGTTATTTATGTCTGACTCCTCTTCTAGGAGGTCAGCTACATGAGGGCAAGGCTTTTAAAAAATACATATATTTTATTGATTTTTTACAGAGAGGAAGAGAGAGGGATAGAGAGTTAGAAACATCGATGGGAGAGAAACATTGATGGGAGAGAAATATCGACCAGCCGCCTCTTGCACACCCCCTACTGGAGATGTGCCCACAACCACTGTACAGGCCCCTGACCGGAATCGAACCTGGGACCCTTCAGTCCGCAGGCTGACGCTCTATCCACTGAGCCAAATTGGTCTTGGCTTTTGTCTGTCTTGTCACTGTTGTGTCTCCGAGGCCGGGCGCAGGGAGTGTACACAGTAGGGGCTCAGCACGGCATGCTGACTGACTGAGTGGAGTCAGCGGAGGCTGACCCAGGGCATCTGAGGACCTTCCCTCAGAGCTGACACGCCATGGCTCCAGGCCGACCGGGGGAGGAAGGAACCTGCTTCTCCCAGGGTCTCCTCGGCCTCTCAGCCTCCCCTGGCCTGGCTCCCAGCGGCTCCCTGGGGGACCGCTGATGGGAGCACCCGAATTCTCTGCAGCCCCAGGTGCCTCCTGCTTCCCTGGGCTTGTTCCCATGAGGACAGAGGCGGCGAGTCGGGAGCAGAATGCTGGGGCACCAACCGGCTCCTCTGCCGCCAGCTGTCCCTTCAGCCCCGGGAGCCTCAGTCTGCTCATCTGTGAATGGGGTTGGCAGGAGGCCCTGTCCCACGGGACATCCAAAACCAACCCACACGGTTCTGGCCCCTGGGAGGAACTGGCGATGTGGTCATTTCTATGGGAGGAGAGACCAACGCGCTTCCCTTCTCTTTTCCAGGATCAAGAGAGAGTGGTGGGACCGGATCCCCAGTCCGGCCCGCAGCCCCCTCATGGCGGTGGTCATCCGGGAGGCCCAGGTAGGCGTGGCTGGTCCGGTCTGTGGGGCTCCTGGCAGGAACCAGCATCCCGGCGTCTGGGCGTTAGACACTCACGGGCTTTGGATGTGCACCTGAGCGTCAGGAAGGCCCCAGCACAGGCGGCTTCTGTAGCCCAGTGTGGTCCTCGGGGGCCCTGAGGCGACCCCGAGCCCTCCCCCCCCCCCTCCCGGCTTTCAGAGCCACTTTCAGCCGTGGGCGGGTCCCACCCTTTGGAGGAGATGGCCCCTGCGGTCACAGGCATGTCATCCCCTGGGGAGGTGCCTGCACCCGGGCAGGAGGCCAGGAGGCCAGGGAGAGGGCACTCGGCTCCTGTGTGTTCCTCTTTTTAAAAAAATATATATATTTTATTGATTTTTTTACAGAGAGGAATGGAGAGAGCTAGAGAGCTAGAAACATCGATGAGAGAGAAACATTGACCAGCTGCCTCTTGCACACCCCCCACTGGGGATGTGCCCGCAACCAATGTACATGCCCTTGACCAGAATCGAACCCGGGACCTTTCAGTCTGCAGAGCGACGCTCTATCCACTGAGCCAAACCGGTTTCGGCCTGTGTGTTCCTCTTTCGAGCGGGAAATGCCACAAAGCGCCAGCCAATCCCCTCCTTTCTCACTGGCCTGGGTTTCATCCCATGCTCGTTCCTAAGCCTTCGCCTGCCAGGAGCGGGGAGACCGGGGCCGGCCGGTGCCAGCCTGAGCGTGGCCGCGTGCGGTTGCCCGAGCTCATGGGCTCTCTGTGAGGGGCCGGGCGCCGGTCCTCAGGTCTCCGGGGACCCTCCGGCAGGCTGTGGGCCCGGCCCTGCCGCTCACCTGCAGAGCGGCCTGGGTTTGAGCGAGCGGCTAACCGCCCTGAGCCCGGTGTCCTGTGGGTTGTGCGGTGTTTATGGAACGGTTGGAATTCACCGAGACGGTGCCTGTGAAGTGTGTGTCACCGGGCCCTGCACAGAGCCAGCCTCGTCCACGTATCAGTCAGCTTTGCTGTGCAGCAAATGTTCCTAAACTTGGTTGAAACAAGCCCCATCTGTAGCTCCTGCTTCTGCAGTCACTCGGCGGTGGGGCCGGAGGGGGGTCTGGGCCGGGCAGGGAGCTCCCCGGCTGGGCTCCTCCCCGCGGCTTTGCGCCCAGCTCCGCGGTGGTCTGGCTCTCGCCGGGCCCTGGGGTGACTGAGCCTGTCGTCCTCCCGCGGGCTGGCCCGCTGGCTCAGTGCCACGTGTGCCCCTTTCTGTGCCCAAAGCAAGTCACCGGCCGGGCCAGACCCATGGGGTGGAGGAGCTGCAGACGGCGGCCACTTTGCCTTCAGCCTCAGCAGCTGAGCATCGGGGCGGCCTCGCTCGGTCCCAGGGGCGGAGGCTCCGGGAGCCGCAGTGGCTGGTCTGACCTCCGGCAGGTGACGGCAGGGCCCACAGCCCTCCACAGCTCACTGCGGCCTCTCCGCTCTGCTCACCGCGTCTCTGTGTTCCAGGTGCCGATGTGGGGGAAGAGCCCTGGGGGCCAGGAGCCGGCCAAGTGCCCGTACGTATATGAGCTTGGGTCACAGCCCGTGTGGACCTGGAGGGGGTGGAATTGGCGCGGTGAGGGGGTCCCTCGCCCCTCTGTGCCTGCCTTTCCGTTGGCGTTCAGCACTGTTCTTTGCAGGGTGGGAGGGGGAGGAGTGGGCTGGGGAGGTGGCTGCTGGCTGGGCCCCCGAATTTCCCTGGGGGGGTCGGGCAGGTGCGGGGTCTCCTTGGGGGTGCATTCTGGCCTGAGCAAGGCTGTGGAGTCAAGTACCCTGGCAGCGGTGCCTGCTGTAAAGTGCTGACATCACCGCATGCTGATTGGCAAACACCACTGTCCTAAACCCTGAAGATGCCACCAGCACCTTAGCCTCCTTAGCGCCTCCCCCAGGCCTCTGGGCCTCCCCCTGTGCAGTCGAAGGTTAGACCCGGCACTGAGGGGCCTTCAGGACGCGGGAGCCCTGCCCCCAGCAGCCGTCCTCAGTGGGCGTTCCCTGTGCTGCGTGTTTTAAATCCCATCCTCCCTGACAAAGACGATTCATTCAATAGTCTGAGCTGGCAGTGGGTCCGGGTTATGGGCTGAGCTCCAGACATCCCCAAGGCAGACAGGGCCCTCCTTCCGGGGGCTCCCAGGGCAGGGGTGGGGCAGACTGAGAGGCAGTGGCTGTAAAGCCAGGAGGCCCATCTGCAATAGGTAGGCATCAGTCCAGGGTGGCTTCAGGCTGGGTTTTGAGGGATGAGTAGGAGTTTTTCAAGTGGAGACGCTGACCTGACCAAACTGCTTCTGCAGGTACTGGAAGACGTGTCTGACGAAGCTCCTGCCCTGCCTGCTGGAGCCCGGCCTGGAGAGGGGTGACGGTTCCTCCCAGGGGGCCGGGAGCCGGCCTGCCCAGGGCCCCGGACCAGCCTGGCGCCCCGCGGAGGGCAGCAGCGCGGTGCTCTGGCCGGAGAGCATCAGCGTGGTGACGTGCGTGGAGCTGCTGGAGGCCCCGGTGCAGAGTGAGGAGGAGGAGCAGCAGGAGGAAGACGGAGGGAGCCTCTGCCCCTCGCCCGAGAGCAGCGGGGCCGGCTTCCAGGAGGGCAGGGCGGGCCTCGCGGCCCGAATGACGGAGCACCTGCTCCTGGACCTCCTCGGGGGCGCGGAGGGGGGCTCCTGCCCGCCAGGCTGGGGGCAGTCCTGCCTCCTCTCGCCCTCGGCAGGTGCCAGTGCTCAGGTGCCTGGGGCTGAGTTGCCAGGTGAGGCGTCTCAGGAGGCCCCCCTTCAGGGTAGGGAGCAGCCTTCCGACCCAGAGCGGCCCCCGGCCACCCGGACGCAGAGCCCCGCCCGCCTGGCTGTCACCGTCATCGCCGACAGCCCCGCGTACCGCAGCTTCGGCAGCTTGCTGCGCCCGCCCTCGGACCCGCAGCTGGCCGAGGACCAGGGAGACAGGGACCCCAGCGTCCTCCCTGCCCCCCCGCCCTCCGGGCCGGCCGCTGCGCTGCAGCCTGAGCCGGAGACCTGGGAGCAGGGCCTCCGGCAGAGCGTCCTCCGGCTCCGGGCGGCCGCCCCCTCGGCCCCCGGGGGCTCCCGGCAGTTCGCATCGGCGGTGCGGCAGGGCGGCGCCCGGGGCGGCCAGGCGGGCGGCCCTCCCGGGGAAGCCGGGTACAAGGCCTTCTCCAGCCTGCTGGCCAGCGGGGCCGCGTGCCCAGGGCCTCCTGGGGCTGAGGCCAGCAGCGGGGAGGCGGGCTACAGGCCCTTCCAGGACCTCACTGCTGGCAGCCCTGGGGTCCCTGCCCCTGTCCCCCTGTTCACCTTTGGGCTGGACACGGGGCCACCGCCCGGCCCTCAGAACTCGCCCCCCCTCACTGGCTCCCCGGAGCGCCCCGGTCTGGAGCCAGGGCCGCAGGGAAAGGACAGCCAGAAGCGCCCGCTCGCCCCGGAGCAGGCCGCAGCCCCCCTCGGGGACGACCTGGGCAGCGGCATCGTCTACTCGGCCCTCACCTGCCACCTGTGCGGCCGCCTGAGGCAGTGCCACGGCCGGGAGGAGCCGGGCCAGGCCCACGGCGAGGCCCCCCACGGCGAGGCCCCCCACGGCGAGGCCCCCCGCTGCTGTGGCTGCCGCTGTGGAGATGGCTCTGAGCGCCTGGGGGGCCCCCTGCCAGGTGGGGTTCTGCTGGAGGCCAGCCTCCCTCCGGCCTCCCTGGCACCCCTGGGTGCCTCGGAGGAGGGCAAGGCCCCCCTGTCCTTCCAGCCTGGCCCCAGCAATGCTCAGAGCTCAAGCCAGACGCCCCAGATGGTGGCCATGCTCTCCACCGGCCCACAGACATGAGTGCGTCCTAGGTGTGCGCCCTCGTTGCTGTGTGAGCCTCAGCCCTGTCTGCGAACCCCTCTCCCACCCCATCCCCCACGCTGAGTACATCCAGGCTGGCGTGGCCGAGAGACTCGGAGAAGCGTGTGAAGTGAGGGTGTCTGACCCGGCTATGGAGGCCGGACCTGTTCTCACACAGGAGCTCAGCGCGTGCCGCGGGTGGGAAGGCGGGAACCGGGCCCTCAGAGCCGCCTGCAGGGACCGGGGGCTCCGGGCACCTTGGCTTGTGAGCGAGCTGTCAGCCACCTGATCGGTCCACGCTTCGCCAGCGCACTGCCCCTGCCACGCCGCCCACGGTCTGTCTGTCCCCCGCTCACTCGGTTGCCCACGTCTTGCCCGGCTCCGGACGCTGAGCCTAGACACTAACCGAGCAATGGGGAGCGCCGGAGGCTTTGGGGCTGATGGGAGCCCGGGCCTGGAGCGCGGTGATGAGCCCAGCGGTGCCACCATTCAGCGGCTCCGGTAGGCCGGCGCGGAGCAGGAGCGGGCAGGGGAGGGCGCTCAGTCAAGCAGGGGAAACGGAAGCTCTGAAAAACGGCGGTTACCGCGCAGTGACGGTTTGTGGGGTCCGGGAATAAACACACCCAGCTGCCTTGGGGCCGGTCGGTGCCCTGCAGACACCGTGGCTGCAGCCACAGACCAGAGGGAGAGCTCCGCCCTGAGAGCCGGCTGAGCTGGGCGTCCAGACGCCCACACCAGGCACGTTTCACCTGCCCGCCGGCCCGGACCTCCCGCTGAGTGTGTGTGTGTGTGTGCGCGCGCGTGTGTGTGTGTCTGTGTGTGTGTGTGTGTGTCAGGGATTGTTTAAACCTAATATTTGTATTTGCAGAGGAGGCTGGGACGGGAGGGGGTGGAGTTTTATATAAGTAAAGGTTATTTCTCTTTTTTTACTTATGAAACAAGCATGCTGCCGCTGTGAGTACTTTATCTTTATTAACTCATTGACTCCACACAGGGACTCAGTTCCCAGGAAGCCCCATGGGGAGCGGGCAGGGAGGCAGGTAGGGCGGAGGCCGTAGAGGAGGGAGTGTTATAAACAGCGCCAGCCGGGCCGCTGCTGCCTGGTCCTGCCGGGAGCTTCGGAAAGCCATGCACCCTGTAAGCCTAGAGGTGTCCCTGCAAAGCGGGGTGGGGCTGGGGTGTTGGTCAGCCCACTCCTCTCTGCCGCCGGTGGAGGCCACGGCAGGGGCACTGGCAGCAGCTCCAAGCTTTGCCAAGGCTCACAGCTCATTGGCAGGCCCACAGCTGAGCCCGCGTGTCTGTCACCCAGGCTCTGCCGTGATGGTCCTCACACCCAGGTGGGTGGCCTGAGGGACTGGGCCTCCGACGGGCAGGCAGGGAGCGTAAGCTCCTAGGTCTGTGACTGTGTCTGTCACACTTTCAATGGGAGGCTTGGCCGTTTGAAGTTCATTCCTGCTCTGCCGTCTACACAGTGCGCTAGAGGCTCATTGCCTTACGTGCAGCCTGATGTTTGTCCAAGTGTCTCCTTTATTTTTTTGTTCATTGTGTATTTTTTTAAAAATACATTTGTGCTGAGCCCTAAACGATCTTTTTAGCTGCTGGAGTCAAAACACACACACAGACACGCACACACACACAGACACACACACACAGACATACACACACACACAGACACACACACACACACACACACACACACACACACACACACACACACGGTTTGCAGGTGGGAAAACTTAGCTCCAGAGAGGAAAGGGGTTTGCTAAGGTCAGCAGTGAATGGCAGAGCCTGAACTAACTCTGGACTTTGCCTTCAGGAGCTTTCATAACAAAATGAAAGAATTAAAAATGAAAATAGCTACTTAGCGCCAAGCAGTATGCTAGGTGCTGTATGTCCCCTGTGCCAGCTCTAGCAGGCAGGTCCAGTCGTCCCGGTTTCACAGCTGAGGAAGCAGCCCGGAGAGGCTGAGGTGTGGCCTCGGGTCCCACAGCGAGCGAGTCCCGGAGCCAGGCCTGCCCGCAGAGCTCCAGCCCCATGGAGGCCTCTCCTGTACCGCACGGCACCATCCGCACGTCAGCTCCAACCCGCTTTGTCTGAGCATCGTCTCAGGAACCCAGTTTAAGAATTAAGCATCAAACAGGGAAAGTACATTAGTGTGCGTGGTGGAGGGGCAGTATGGGTTGAGGTGCAGTAGAATGGAGGCAGGAGTCACTGTTCTCTCCTCAGGATTTTATAAGGAGACCCAGCTGGTGGGCTGAGGCTGATGTGACAGAAATAACGGGGCTTGGGGCTGGGATGGGGAATTAGATAGAGAACCTCCGTCTCTTCCCTGCCTTTAACCCACCTCCCAGGCTCCCGGGAGCTGGAGAAAGGCCACTGCTCTTGCTTCCCCAGCCCCCTTCTGCAGCTTAGGAGGAAGCAGAGCAGGAAAGCAGGTAGCGGGGAAGCCCACACCCACCCATATTTACTGAGCGCCTACTGTGCTGGGTGCTGAGGAGACAGTGAGAGGAGCTGCTTCCCTCCTGGACCTTATAGTTCAGTCAGAGATACAGACATGAAACAGACAAAAGGAAAAATTTCAAACACCGATGGGTGCTGTAACCCTAAGAAAGAAGACTAAGAAGGGCTCCTGGTGGCTAACTGGGTTCAAATTTAACCTCCCCCCACCCCACACCCGACCCTAGCAGCAATAGCCATGCACAGATCTCTCATGCAAACTGCACCTCAGGGAGAAGCCTGCACTAAACTGCCTGCCTGCACTGTGTTCCTGCCATCTGAGCCAGCCTTATACAGGAACTAGAGGCCTGGTGCAGGAGATTCGTGCACTTGGGGGTGGGGATGGGGGAGGTCCCTCAGCTCAGCCTGCTCCCTCTTGCAGTCCAGCAGTTGGACATCCTTAGCGTTGCCATGGAGACAGAAGAGGCTTCACCACTGCGTTCACCAGCTATGAGCCGGCTCAGGGCTTCTGGCTGAGCTGTGCTCTCCCTGTGGGAGCGCACTGACTACCAGGGTTAGCTCCTGTGTTAGTTGTCCCACCCCCTGATGGTCAGTGCACATCATAGCGACTGGTCGGTCCACCATTCAGTTGATTTGCATATTAACTTTTTATTATATAGGATTCCTGAGATCCTATTTCTTTTATTATATAGGATTCCTGGGATCCTATTTCAACGAATAAGACTGAGGTTTCCCCCCATCCATTGGAGCTGTGCAATTTCAACCAACCAGAGTGGTTCTATCCTGACCAATCAGGACAGTGCCTTTTGGACCAATCAAATTGTGAGGGCTTGAAGTCCTCATTTACATGTGGATAGACCAATCAGGGATCAAGGGCAAGGACTTCTGTGCATATAAAGCAGCTCCCCTCTGGCTCTGAGAAGGCACTTCCCACTGAAGACAGTCTGGCTGGCTGAGCTGGAACATGGAAGCTGTCTCCCTGGAAGAGTGGAGCATCAGGATCATAGCGTCTGGGAGCAGAGCTGTCTGAGAGAGGGCCTGGCTCCAGGGCTGCCTTCCAGCCATGCTGTCCCACAGCCGAGCTGCGCACCGTAACGGAGCTGTTTGCACTGAATAAAGTCTCCTTCACCACACCCCACACTGGGGGTTCCTTGTGGCTGTTCAATTGGTGCCAACAACCACCAGTTGACAGTGCTCTGCAGAAAACAGGGTCTGAGACACGGGGAGCTACAGGGAGGTCTCTAAGGGGGTGACCTGAGCTGAGCCCTCGGTGACCAGAAGTCAGGATGGACTAGGTGAGGAACAGCCTGAGCAGAGCACAGAGCAGGTACAAAGGCCCCGAGGCACCCACAGAAAGACCAACCGCAGCAGTGAGCCAGGGACATGGTGGAGGAAGGTGGGCACAGTGGGGGATGGAGTGAGGAATTTATATTTGGGTTAAGTGAACATTAGCCCCACCCCCTGAGAAACATGGCCCAATAGACACTCGTCTCTCTTTCATCTCCCCAATCGGCAAAGGTAACCCGCCCACAAGCAGGAGCCAATGAGAGGACACGGAGCCCCTGGACGTGCTCCAATGGGGCTCCTTCTCACCTTGCAGAGGACTGAGGCTCCCTGACAGCAGCGCTGGCTAATGTCCTCGATGCTGGTGCTCTCTCGCAGGGATAAGGGCCCTCCCACCAGCAATGAGTGGATGTGCACAGAGGAGTGGCTGCTGCCAGGGCCTTTCTTGGAATTTTCTCGACAAAATACTTTTTCAAATCCCCTTAAAATGTGGCCCTTGGCCTCCCAGGCCCTGGTCTCCAAATCAGGCAGGACGCCCCGAGGTTCTTTGGGGCATAAAGCCCTAGACCCCTTCGCTGTTTTCTAGGTCCCCTTTATCCTGCCTGCGCCTTCGTTTTCTCATTGGGAAACAGAAAGTGTGGGGGCAGGAACGGAATAGTGGGGACTGGCTTTGTTATAAAAACACTGACCACGCTCCCTTAACTGAGATTGTCCTGTCCTGACAGAGGAGGCACACGCTAAGCTGGCTGGGCGTTGTAAGCCTGGCACATGGGTGCTGGTGTCAGAATGCAGCCCATCCTGCTTTTCTGAGAACTGCCAGTCACAGAAGATTCAACAGTCTGTTCCGGAGGCGCCAGAGGTACCCACTCTCTTAGGCACCCTCGCCCCCGCCGGCCCTCCTTGCCTGTGTCCTCAAACCGTTACAGAACGCCCACTTCCCCACGCCTGTCATCCTGCTCCCCACGCCATCGCTGTCCCTCTGCTGCTCTCCCATGCTGCCGGCAGGACTGGAATAAACGCTCCCACATGATTCAAGCCCGTCTCTGCTTCATGGGCTCCAGCAGTGACAGGCAGCCGGACCCACTGGCTGTCCTGTCACAGAAGGATAATAAAACCCGTGTCGGGAGTTTTCCTGAGGAAAGTCTCCACACAATCGTCTTCGCCATGTCTCAGATTTCCTCCTGCCTGGCCGGGGCACAGGTGACAAGAATTAAAGGTACAAACAGTGCAGATCCAGACTTCTCAGCCCTGCCCACTGCTCCAGGCTCCTCTGAACTTCCCTGTGAGTCTCTGCAGGCTCCCACTTCTGCTGCCACTGCCGATGGTTAAGCCTGACAGGGGAGCCCCAGCTTCTCTCTCCCCACCCCCAACCCTCCACACTCTCTGGCTTATGCCTACCCTCCTGGGTTGGACTGCCCACACCAGGCCTGGGATCCATGCCTTCATTCGAATAGCACTCCCTGACAGGCAATGGCTAAACCAAAAATACATCTAAGATATAAGCATGGATCACAGCTTTATTTTAAATTTACAGGAAGGAAATCAGAAAAGAAGAGAGAACTCAGGTTCCATGCACGACCTTAGGCAGCGTCTTACAGCCAGACAGCGGAGAGTGGGGCAGGGCTGCCCCCAGAACTCCTTACGGGGGACGCTCACGGCCCATCCGGAGGCCGCTCCACGCCGGGCTGGTGGCACTGGATGAGGCTGTGAGGCTGAGGACGTGGGCTGAGATGTTACAGACCAGCCGGTACGTTAAACAGCCCCTGTGGCGCTGAGTCCCTGTGGGACAGAGCAGGGCGCAGGTCATGTTACTCCACATACAACTCAGTTTTCTCAGCCTGGAGGGGGTACAGACCCGGAGAGACGGAGGGGGAGGGAGGGGGGGCAGGGTCAGAGAGTCGGGTGCGCCTAGCTCATGCCCCCCTCCCTGCCCACCCCTCAGGTGGAGCTGGAAGCAGGCAGGGGTGTGGGCCCAGCTATGCTGGCTGCGGAGTTTCCCAGCGCCCCCCGGAGGCTGGACGGGAGGTGGCGCGGCCCAGGGGGGCTGGGCGTGGCCGGGGTGTGGGT